GGGATAGATTTTAATAATAAAGTGTTTTGAACATTCAACTGGTGTGACTATATAGTAGAATGTGACTATAACGGGAGTGACTATAGAGGGAGTTGACTGTATATGATCATAATGAAATGATAAATAATCTGGTAAAATGGATTGTTATTAAACAACATGCATTTACAATTGCTGAGGAGCCAGATTTTATCAATTTTATACATTCATTACACCCTACTGCGAAAATTCCCAGTGCTGACACAATTAAATCTCATATTTCAAATTTTTATAGAACTGACAAAGAAAAAGTTCAAAATATTTTGTTAAATATTTCAGGAAAAATTTCATTTACAATTGACTGCTGGACCAGTCCTTCAGTCAAATCATTTTTATCAATAACTGCACATTTTATTGATAAGGACTGGAAATTACAACATATACTGTTAGATTTTCTTGAAATGTTTGATTCACATACTGGGCAAAATTTAAAAGAAACATTTGTGACAGGTTTGGAATATTTTTCAATGGAAAAAAAAGTATTTTTATTTTTTATTAGTTTATTCTGATTTTAATTTAATTAATTATCAAATTTACCAATATTTAATATTTATAGTTAATGGGCATTACATTAGATAATTTTTCAAATAATGCAGTATTCATTTTTTTATTAACTAATTGGGCAATAGAAAAAAGAATTTCTTTTGATAAAAATGATAATCATTTTAGGTATTTTGCCCATGTCATTAATTTAAGTGTTCAAGCAGGATCCCGAACAATATATATAAAGGTAGGTTTTAAGTTTGCTTAACCAACATATAAAAATTTTTCCTATGTGAGATTTATTATTGCTTATTTGATAACATAATTTTTAAATAGTCAGATATAATTATGCGTAGCAGAGTATTAAATTATTAATAGTCAGATATTATATTTGCGTAGCAGGATAGATTTTTTTAATATATATATATAATATAATATATATTTACATTTTTCACATTAAAAAAATCTAATAAAATATGTAAATAAAGTTATAAACATGTTTATGTAAAAAAAATTTACTATTTTTAATACAAAGAATAAGTTAATTATATACGTAATACAGGAATCATTTTTAGACGTGATCGTGTAATATGTTTTTGATAAAATAAATACGCGTCCACGTAACATTAAAACTATAAATCATATATGCATCTGTGTAATACTTTACAGAAACTTACCATTTTTAATCAATATAGAATCGATATCATTAAGTTTATCTTAACGGTATCATTTCGATATCATTTCAATATCATTTCAATATCG